CAGGGATTCTTTTTTTCACATAATTAAAAGACAGGGAGCAAATCAAATGAGTTTTACAGATCTTGCATCTGGCTTTCTGAACAAGTTGGAAGCTACAGCCAAGCTGAGGAATTAGTAAACAAGAGAGCTATAAGCAGTTAGAAAGTGATGCTCTTGTGGAAAGGAAATAGAGGAAATTAAAAATAGTTGCTCTGTTTTTAAAGGATTTCTCTCTCAGACTGGGAGAGATTTAGATTGTAAACTAGGAAAACAGAACATACTGTTAAATAGGAAACTGAAATCTCTTAAAATTCCTACGTGGAAGAGGGTGAGATGCTCGATGAAGGCCTGTGCATTTTATTTTCAGAAAAAAAAAAGAAAGATAATTTTGTAGTAGCGGGTAGGATGCTTACCATTGTTCTGGAGAGAGAAATTGTGGAAGCATAGTGCCAGAGAGAAGCTATAGGATCTTCTAGTTCATCTCTGAACCTTTTATTTTAATGTTCTCTGACTTGCTACAGTTTGTCTACCTTTTTCCTAGTATGCTGTTCAAATACAGCACTGTACGTCAGCTGAAGCCTCAGCTATACTGAATAAAGCAGAAGGTTATCTACTGAGCCTTGTGTGTGACACAAAAATTCATCTTGACGTGACATTTGCTTTTTTGGCACCATGTTGTTGGCTCAGATTCCATTTTTGGTTCACTGTAACTCCCGTTTCTCACTCTTTCTTGTGGAAATGCCATGTTAAGATAATTTTGAGAGTAAGATGAAGTTGGGATATGTCACCTCTACTGCTTCTCTTTTGTTTGCTAGGTCAATTCACTTGTCAAAAAAAAAGTTTGGTAAGACCTGTTCTTGTCAAATCCACATGGGATGTTCATTATTTTTATTATTGTTTGGGTCGTTATTGCTTATTGCTCAGTCTGCTGCCTTTTGGATATTGAAGATACATTTATTTTCCTTCCTTTTAAAAAATGGGTTGATATATTTGCTCTTTGCTTATGATGTTAAGATTACTTCAGATAGTTCTAGTACTAGAATATATTAATTAAGCCCTATCAGTGTGAAAACTTAAAGGAAAATAAGAATAAAAAAATACTAACCTGTGTTTCTGTCCTCCCCATGAAGTTGTTAAATATTTTGTTGCAATTTTTTTTTCTGTGCCAACAGAAGCAGTGAAAGATTTGAAGTATTAGCATTATATATAAGTTGCTTTTCTTTTCCATCAAGTAATAATCTATCCATTCTTTTAATCATCTTTTTACTACTACTTCGTTTGTAGAACCTGTTGTCTTCCCTATGCCTGCTGATCATAATTCATTTTGCAACTCAGTGTTTCTTATTTTTTAGTTGTGGGGTTTTTTCTTTTTTTCCCTACGTGCTTGTGCTATTTCTTAGTTTTTGTCGGAATTGCAAGGTCAGAGCCTAAGTCGGCCCTGCCGAGGTAATCACAGTTAATACACAAGAGACTATAACCCTTGGCCTGGTTTGCGGACAAGAGAATGATGTGACTTTAATACTGAGAGAGCTGACAGCCTGCGAGGTAGGATGCACTCCAGAAGACTGTAAGGGGTCGAGATGCAGCACTTAGCCTGGTATCTTTGACAGCGATGAAGGATTAATACTGAGAACTAAAAATTACTTGTTTCTATATTTGTCTCTGCTGGTAGGCTTTGTATGAAAATGATAGGATGAGGTGGACCTCCCTGATTCTTATGCCTTCCCCCTTCCCAGCACATTACAGGAGGTGACCACAATTGTATTGATAAGAAAAACAGCTTCACCTTTGTTACTTACAAGCAGTAGTTTTGGTACTTTATTTGAGGTCTCCTGAACTAGTAAGCGTGCAGGTCGTCTTTACTCTGAAGAATAAGGTTAACCTGAAAAGAAGAGTATTAAAGTACTCTCAGTTCCCAGGTGAATCTACGTACTCACTCTAGCTAGTTAACCTTGTATCAGTTCTGTCCGTCATCTTTATTGAGAACACTCTTCAATAAAAACAGTCAATGAAACATGTTCTTATTATGATATCAATATGCATGTGCTTCATTAAGAATGCTTTTACTTGTCCTCTTACCCAAACTGTCAAAAACCAATTTACTTGAACAATATTAAATTACCGGATTTGAAGTTGCTAGTAATTTTGGAAGTACAGTACAACTGACCATGTTGGGCTGTTTCATCTTTCAGGAAAAATTATACTGTAAGCTCCCCAGGCTGTTACCGGCATCTTAATGACGTTGCAGAGCTACTGGCACAAAACAAACTAGCAGCAGCCAGCTGAGCCAGGGAGAGAACACTTTCTAACTAGGGTTGAACATTGCATGGCAGTCACAAACGTACGTACAAAGGCTACTTTCACCGGAGCGTGTAGTCATAGCTGTCTGTAACAGTGAGATGACATGTCAACATAGCTTTCCATTCTCATAACTCTAATCTTTTTAATGGCATGTGAGCTGATGGTGTTGAATAGATGCTTTCTACCCCCTTGGACAGCTTTACATCTATCAAGAACGCAAAGACATCCACAGGGTAAAAATGTTAACTCTGAAGTATTGGTTTTTTACCTTTGCTGTTGTGACTTTAGTATTTTAGATAAGTGAAATCATGGAAATAGGCCAGGTGCTATATAGCCAGAAAAACAAGAGATATAAAATTGTTACATTAATTTAAAGGAGGATTATGTTGCCCTTTCCAGGATACAGCCTAAATCTTTATATTTCCATTTGCCTTGAATAATGCTGCTTGACATTAATGCAGTCTTGCAGCAGCTTATGTTCTGGAAGAGAACAAGAGAAAACTCTTGGTTTGTCACAAATGTCAGTTTAGAAATTAATTGTTCACTGAAGCAGGAGAGTGTTCAGCGGTACAGTTACATTTGGTGACTACATGGACGATCACGCTGTAGAAAAATGAATACTGAAAGCTTTATCCATATTTTTTAAAAGTTAGAGGAGGAATATTTGCATACCTAATCCAGACTTGCGTATCCAGTAATTTGAATGTTACATTTCAGCAAGAAACAGCTGGAGAAACTCTTGCTACGTTCCTGAAATACGTCTCTTTCCAAACCTAGTTGTTAAATTTAAATTCTCTTTGTTTCTAGCCATTTACAGCAAACTCTTTGTCTGTTCACTGTGGTAAAGTTAGGGAGAAATATGTTTTGTTACCTCCTTATACAAAGAAATTCGTTAAGAAGCTCTGCTCTTCTATTTTAAAATGTGCTGTAGTAAAATGTTTCCATGGTCTCCTGTGGAAGAGTACCAGATTGTTTCAAAATGATGGGCAAATGCTTAAACATAGGTGTACTGGAATATTTGATTTGATATTTCAGTCAAATCTAGTATATGTAAAGGAGATTTAAAATTTCTGCTCTGTTTTTTAAGTGCAGTGCTAGGACTGCTATGAAAACTGTGTTACTTTCTTCCTCCTCTTTAGTCCATCTAGAACAAATGAATTGACCCATGCTTTCTGCTAACGATCCCTAGTACTGGTCAGGAGGCAGCTGGCTACAACTCGGGGCAGTCTGTCCATTACTTTTCAAGAATCTGTGGTTATGAGGTGAAGTGGAAGAAAATATACATTTGAACTTATTTTCCCGTGAAAGGGTGAAAAATAAAGCTGGATGTTAAACAGCCCATAGTCTTATGCTGTTAATTGAGGCCAACATACAGATAACACTGCATAAAAGTGACTCTACCACAGTGACCATTGATTAATGCTAAATATCAGGCTAGCTTTTACTTGGTGTTCCATTTTTACAAATTTTGAAAAAATAGTTCTCAGTGGAGATGTAGAACCCTCTAAAATTCTACATATAATATTTTGCTATATCATACATAGGATCTTAACGTTCTTGATTAGTTTAAATAGGTCTTGTAGAAGAATCCACGGATACTAATAGGTCTATGTACAACCGCTTGCAAAGTACTGTATTGGACTTAGTTGTATGGTGTCCATTGGCTCTGAAATGAGCTGCCTGTTTGTATGGACTAATTAAGTTATGTTCAGCTTTGTTAAAATGAACACCAGCTTAAGCATCCTTTAAAACAGCTGACTTTATACAGGCTTATATCAATTTCTCCACAGTGCCTTTGAGACATTATATTCATCCATTGTCCTACCTTTCTTGGATTGCCCACAAGACGGGATGATCTTGGGGGATTGTGCTTGCGCTGATGGATTTTGATTCTCTGGGAAATTCTTTGGCTCCTTCGTGCCTCTACTTCCTAATCTGTAGAATGGAAGCAATGGCACTTACTCAGTGAGCAGGAGTAACTTGAAGTTTGATCTCTTAGTGCTGATCTTTTAATCCAGATACATTTTTATGTTCTAGAGACATTATTTTCTCAGAATACTTGGAAGCTGTGTATTCAAATGCATCTTGGAGATGAGATCAGTTGTGTAACTGGACCTTAACTATACTGGTGGACCATCTGGATCTCTGGGCTGAACAGTTAAATGTCCATTATGTTACTGGAGGTTTTTCCCTCCTTTTTCTAGTCAGACAGCTATATATAGTTGCTTCAATAATAGGACATATCTGATGAAGTAAATTATTCACAGCCCTTTTTTTTCTTGATGCAGTTATTTTAATTTACATATGAATGTAAATTAAAAGGTAAAAGATACTGATGTGGACAAGTATCACATAAAATAGTCAGAGAACTTCCTACCTATTTATTCTGGACCTTTTAGTGTATCCATTCTTTGAAAAAATGATTTTAATTCTTCCTCCCCCCCCCCATTGTTTTGCCATATTGATACATTTCTTCTCAGGAATTCTTCGTTTCTGTTGAAAAGTTGTTCAGTAACAACTCACTTGGTATTATACTCACTAAGCATTATGTGCAAATTCAGACCTTACTGGAAAGTCAAATCACAGACTGAAACCTTTTTTGTTTTTCTTATTTAAATGAGCTTGATTTGTTTTCCTATGTATTCACAGGCTCTTAAAATAAGAGAGAGCTGCAATTGCCCATCTCTTTCTGGACCAGATCCTCGCCTCATTTTCAGACTTAACATGCAACATCTCCTGGAATCGTCTAAAGATCAAGAAACCCCAAATTCTACAAAGCAAGATCTCTCAAAACCAAAACTGCATTTTCCTCACACTCAAAAAGTGGAAGATATGCCAGTAACTTTTGCAGTTAAACCTACAAACTAATGATAATAATTTTCACTTTTTGTGAACCCTGTGGTCCCTGAAGGTGTTTCCTATAACGCAAATTTGTCTTTGAACCATAAAGAAGATGGAACCACTCATATTCTGTGTTTCTTTTATGTGATCTCTCACTCAAAGCAATGAGGAACCATGCCCACACAAGAAGAGCAGCGTGCTGGAGCAGAAAGTCTCTTACTCATCAAGAGTTACTAAACTAAATCACTTCTCAGGGGAAAGATAATCTTGTACAATCCGGTCACACAGTGTAATTTCCAGCTTTATCAGGCTCACCTTGATCAGAGGACAGATGAGCCAGAAGCGTCCCTAAAGCAGAGGAAAAAGTACAATTTTCATCACTTAAGTTGTCTGGCTTATCTTGCTGTAATTTGGGTTAGATCTATTCAGCTCCATTTGAGAAATAATGAGGAGAGCTTACCGCCTGTTCCACATATAGCATGTTTAAAAATATTAAGCTGAGATGCTGTAATAGCCTATGGGCTAGATACACCCCCACTTAATTAGGTGGATTTACTGCTGGGATTTTTCTTCTTTCTAAGGCATTTTAGAATATGGATTGATTCAACATTTTTCTTCAAAGCAACCTGAAAGGGTTGCACAAAGTTCAATTTAAAAAAGGAGTTAAATAATTTTCAAGGAAGTCTTTCTTTTGAAAGAAACACTGTATAAGAACCATAGTTTGTAGCACTAGAATGCTTTGCAAGAATGGCTATTTTCTTTTTTAAATGATCAGAGTGCCTCATCAGAGGGCAGTTTTACTGCAGTGGCATTTGATTTGGGTCTGTCCGTTTGGATAGAAGTGATTGCTGATCTGGAAATATATTATGTAGAGACAAATACAACAAGTTTTCTTGACTGCACAGCTTTTGCAGCTGTACCTTACATTAAAAGGTGACTTTTCTTCAGGAAACTGGCATCTGATGCTGAGAATCTCTCCTTCCTCTCAGTCCCCCTGAAGCCACACGTTTTATACCATGGAGACCAATATGCACAATATTGGTGAAGCTCTGCCTTTCGTGATGGGCTAGCCAGTATAGCCAGCATGTTGATCTTTATCTGCACATGTTTGAGTTATCCTTGCTTTGCAGTTGATGAAAATACTGAAATGTCGATCTTGCAGGAAGACGTAGAAAGAGGTAGCAGTGAATGAAAATAAAAAAGGGAAATCCTGTTCCTTTTTCTGTTAAGATATATTTGCAGTTAGGTTTTTTGTTACTCACTTGTATTAAAACAGAAATCTGTTTAATTTCTGGTAGGGTTTTACATGAAGGGGACATTCAAGATATGTTGCAGTGTATTGTATTTTGAAACATTCTTTTTTATAGATGGAGGGGGGCAGACTTTATCGCATTTCTTCAATTAAATCAGAATGCAAGTTTTTTAAAAAGAAAAAACTAACCTATTCAGTGCTGTCAGTGAATATAGTTGGAAAAAAAGATTGTGAAACAAGTAATTCTTTAACTGACTTCAGTTGATGAACCAGGGTCCTTTGAGAAACGCCAGCAGCTGCCTGCCTTATCTCTATTCAGAGGTAAGTTGATGTATCTGTAATGTTGATGATTCTAGGTCTGATTATATAGGTCTAGATTGGCTGCATATTGCTTACAAGCTGTTTTTAAATCTCTGCTCAATACTCCTGGCAAGAGGCAGAAGGTCCAGCCTGACCATTATTCATCCATCTGTTTTTATTCTTAGTGACAGGAGTTTTTGTAACAGACATTCAGTGATGTGTTGAAGCATTTGGACGTTGTCACCTGAAGGTAAACAGAAAAATACACCATTTAGATTTCCCTGTGGACCTTATAGTTTATACTGCAACACCAAGACCCCAATGCTGCTGCCTCTCTCTCACTCCAGTGTCAAAGCTTGTTTTGTTATCCAGGGCTCGTGGTTGACATGCAACTTGATGCTTGTGTCTGTTAGGACTAAGGAGAACATAGAAGAGTTTTTATAGCATTCAAGATGAAGTGTGAGACTACACAAATTTCTTGTTTCTGCTGTCTATTTTAAGTGACTTAAGTATTGCAGTGGAATGCTGGAGGTGCAATTTTTAAGTTCACCAAGGGATTTTTTTTTTTTTTTTAATTTGTGTGTAAATAGTCTTGTAACCGTGATCATGGTGATGTGAGAAAGAAGGTTTCAAGGGAGAGGTAATAGCTTGTATTAGACCGACAAAGGGCTTATGTACTTTTTCGAACTATACTGGTCTAATAAAACATCTTTCTCTCCTTGCAAACCTTACATATGCATACACACATATATATATAAAGTACACACATAGATACAAGAGTTAGGCCTTTACACTAAAACATTATAGTTGTAAAGTCCAAAATGGAATGTTGAAAATTTCAGGTTTTACTTTACATCTTGAATTATCCCTAATATTTTTATTGGGTGCTTTAGGAGGGGTTTCTTCTTTCTGCTTCTCTTGTGTCCAACACAGAAAATGCCTTGTGTTCATCTGCCTCTTGGAGGGCACTTTTTCCTTAAGTTCTTTCTGAATACTATACCTTACATCTGTCTATATTGTTAAAGAATTTTCTTTTTTCTTTCTTGAGCAGGAAAATTACCAAAATGTTACTTCCCAAAGGAAGTAACTTTTAAATTAAAGAACATATAATAATTTTAAGTTGTGTGTGTATATATACACACTAATATTATAAATAATGTTAACTA